AGAAATTGCTTGAATTGAAAAAGGAACTGCTTCAAGTTCTTAAAAAAGGAAGGGAAGAACCATAAACAACCTTCAACGCGAAAGAGGCGTCCGTTTGATTGTGGGGACCGATGGTGGTTAGTAGCAGGAGAAAATAATTGTCAACAACATTAGGAAACACTATAGAATATAAGCTGTAGCCATAATGAAAAAACAGCCTTGAGACTCATTATGTAAACAGTGGGCTTTGTATCGTCAACGACATGTTTGTAAAACCTGCAGTGTTGAATCAATGCTATTTCAATATCCTTATGTTTAGAGACTTATCAGGGCTTTGCAACGCATTCCTTCTCCACGAAAATGCGTTAGTGTCCCTTAGTTTTGACATTGGAAAACTTAATCGAATAGATTCCATGCTATCGTGCTTCTGCGGTTCAGTAATAGATCACAGAAGACCTCTTCGGAGAGAAATGGCAGATTGCTTCCCTAAGTTTACAAGGAAAATTAATTCGCAGCAAAATGATTCAGCCCATGACAGAAAATTGCAAAACAAACTTTCGATCAATAAAGAAACTGATTCAACCTCAAGGATGAGCAAAGGCTGGTCTTTCCCATTCCTGTCATTACTCTACCGTACGGATGAACCCCTGTCTCATCCTGACCCTGTGAAACCCTATGTATTTTTTAACTGCCGGGGTGCTTATTTATGTTCAGTTTAGAGACAAGACCTTAGACTTTAAACCGCTTTGGCGAATTTGTGTTACTATTAATAAACCGTTTATCAGCTGTCCCCTATCATTTCTGCGGTATGCCCGGAATTCTTATTGGCCCACAGCAAACTTGTTTATCTGTTCTGATTGTAGCCTCCCACGCAGACGTTCTTAGGGGTTCGTCGCACGTTCCTGCAGGAACGCGTGACGAACCCCTAAGAACGTCTACGTGGGAGGCCACTCTGATTGTTCAGATGCGGTAAGGCCGGATGACATTCTTTGGTCACTGATCAATTGATTTTTAAAAAGTACAAATGCGTAGTTTAGCAGTCAATCCGCTAATACGGACACTTTCTAAGGCCCCTTCAGTGTCTGTATCCGGGGGGGTACTCGATATATCCTGGGTGGGGAGGTGCGGCTCGGCCCCTCATACCCTGACCCTGTTTAAGACAAAAATCGCTGATTTTCCTACCCTGTTTAAGACAGAATTCCGATTTTTGATACCCAGTTTAAAACATTTGTAGAACACCAGCGCAGGCTGTTTATCGTCTAAGAACAGGGTTATGGGCTCCTGTCTAAGAAAAGATACCCTGTTTAAGACAAAAATCCTGAAAAACATACCCTGGCTGGCCGCACGTCCCCATTAAGCCCTTATAAGGGAGTACCCCCCCCCCGGGGGGTCTGTATTAACGGCCCTGCGTTTCAAGAAACTTAATTAACAATTCTGATTAATATTTATTTCATAACTGCAATAATTCTGCTGCTATTATGAAACTCGCATTAAAATCACTTCTGTGGTCAATTCCAATGCAGATTTGACGAAGACGGGGCCCAATGCCCATTTAATAGCCTCTAAAAGCAAGGATTGCTAGTTGTATTGACAAACATCACTCATCCGAAAGCGGATGCTTGTACATAACATGTGTATCACATGGCAACAAACTCATGATGCGCACATAGTTTGCATTTAAAACCATTCCACGTCAAGTAATGTAATAAATGTGAAGCCAGCGCCGAGTGAAGGTATGAAATTCTTGTTGTTTCTGTAGAAATTTACGTAATGGGCCACACTTAGATGCAGAACCTTGTTCTTCAGTATTAACACGCAGCTTATTTTATTTCTCATGAGGCAAAACTCAAATTCAGCCTTGATATTTGAATGTAGTATTTAAGATGCAGATTTAAACAAGACCATAAAGCTGTTCAAATTATTTATTTGCGAGTTGAAGAAATATCTAAGTACAAAACATATCGAAGGAAGATTTTTTGGGTGCCACTCACTTTAGTCCTTTTGTTTTATAAGGGGGGTTGTTCTATTTACCAACAGCCCCGTAACAAGCCTAATTTTGCAACGGTTAGTTATTGCTCAACGCAAAGACAGAGAAACTTGTAAAAATAGACCTGACGA